GATTTTTTTTTTGTAAATCTAAAATAGTTTAAGGATAAATTTATAATTTAACCTTTATATAATTTTTATTATTTAATAACAGAAGAATAATATTTTTGAAGAAAAAAATTTAAGGGCATTTTAGTCAAAATACCGGTAATCCAACAATACCTAAGAAAATGGAGGTAATGACATTCCCGGTAATATACCCCAGAAAATCTACTATTGGTAATCTTACATTACCGGGAATGAGATTCCCGGATAACCAAACGGGAGAATATGAATTCTATTCCCATGGGAATCCAATATTCCCCTACCAAACGTCCCATGAGGGATTTAGAGAGATGGGAGATTAAATTTTGAGTGAAGAGAGAGAAGAGCAACACAAAAATAAAAAAAATAAAAAAAGGCTAAAAATGGGTTTATATAGGCGCAAGAAAACGACTCCATTCTGGGGTCTTCTTAGTCAAGTTGAAATGGCGCCGGTTCAGTCCCAATCCGCGCGTTTTGATAATCAGGGGTTAATCACACGTGAAGTCACCCTAATCTTCTCCCATGTTCACTTTGGTCACTTATTTATGGCTAATATTTTAATTAATTTGAATTTTGTCTTGCGTTGCTGTTTATCATTTTTATGTTTTAATACTAATATTTTGGTATGTTTCCTTTCAGATCCTTCATATTCAACCGTATTTTTACATTTGGGTCCTTATTTTATTTATTCAATTGCATGTTTATTTTTTTTAATTTAGTCACTATACTAATTTGCATGCTTAAGTTTCAATTGGGTCCCTAGACTTATTTTTTTTGTTATTTAGTCCCTAGACTAATTGTTTTATTTAATTAACCTTAGGATTAATTTAGTTGAATTTATTTTATAATTTTTAAATTATTAATTATTATTTTTATTCATTTTCTTTATTTATTTTTATTTTCATTTTTATATTAATTTGGGAATTGTTAATTTTATTATATTCTTATTTTACTAACTTCTCATTTTCTTTTCAGGTCGTTCTAATCAAAACTTTCGACATTATATTTCTTTATTTTATTTGATAATTTTTTTAGTTATTCTTTCCTTTTTAAAATTATTTATTTTTTAATTACATTGTTTTAATTTTAATTATTTTTTCATTCCTTCTCAGATATTTTCATTAAGGTAAATTATTATGTTACTTTAAATTTATTTTATTTTATTGTAATCTTAGCAAGTTAATACATGGATTCTAATGTAATCCTTTAACTTAGTTTATTCTCATTTTAGTCCTTTTAAGATTAGAAGAATTTTCAATTTGGTCCTTGCCTTCATGCTCAAGGATTCAAATTGATTTTTCAATTAAAATAATTAATTCAATTAATAATTAGATCCTTAAACTTTAGATTTGGCCCTTTAACTTTAGACTTTCTACATTTTAGTCCCTAAATTACTAATTACAGTTTCCAATTGACATAATTAATTAGATAAACAAATAGTCCCTTATTCGATTTGGGTTTCCGCATGAAAATGCCCAATTGCTCAAATCAATTACCCGATTCAATAATTGGTCAATAAAATGATTGGGTTAATATTAGAGACTTCACTAATCCTTTAAGATCTTTGTTGAGTCAAACTAATCAATGGAATGGCCAAGAGGGTGTGAATTGGCAATTTGAAAAATGATGGAAGCTTTTTGCAAGAAAAATGAAAAATTAACACAAGCAATTTTAGAGTGGTTCAACTTCTTCAATGAAGTCTACATCCACTACCTTAGCTTCCACACTAAGGATTTCAACAAATCTACTAATTTGTTCTTACCTTTTAGGACAATGTGTAACTTTACAACACACTTAGACTTATAGCTCAAAGTCTCAAGTGCACAACCCTTCCAAAGAAAAAAATTACAAAGAAGTAAACTTTTGAATATCCTCACAAGATAAAATGTTTGCAAATTAAAACTCTCACACACCCAAAAACACATAGGACGAAAAATACAATGAATGGAATAGTGTTCTATGTATGAAAGACAAGATGGATTACAAATTTGGCTCTAAATGCTCTTTGATTGTTGGAATGACTTTCTTGTATTCACTTGGCTATTTGTATACCCTTTTTATATGTCATCATTGATTTCTAGCCGTTAGGGGTGTTGGAGGGAGTTTGGAGCCGTTTGGAGCAATAAATTTGCACGTTGAATGCAATCCTACACAAAGGTTTTGAAATCTGTAGGAGGGGTTTTGAAACCTTCCTTCAAATTTTTTTTACCGTTGTAGCAGGAGTTTTAAAACCTATAGAGGGGGTTTCGAAACCAGGCCCAAAAACTGCTAAAAAAGTATTTTAAAACCTTTATAAAATTCATAAACACTTTTAAATTTATTTTTGACATTTTGAATATTAAAACTTATTTTTACAAACTTAAAATTCTTGAATCGAATAAAATATTTACTTTACCAAAATTTCAATTTAGTCCTTTGTTATATCAAAATCATTTAATTACATTTATCAATATCCCCTTTTTGATATAACAAAACCACTTTGTAAAATGTGTCAAAAATAAAATTTGAAGACATCAAAATGTTATAAGTAAACTTTTTCATTTTTCTCCCCTTTGAAAAGGAATTTAAGAGTGAATTTTCAAAAATGAAAATTTTGGAAGTTTATAAAACAAATATTTACTAGAATTTTCTCTCCCTTTTTGTTAATCAAAATCAATTAACTACAAGAGAGAAGCCAAGATTAGAGAACAATAACAAATATCCAACAAATATCAAAATAATCAATAATCGCTAAATTTATCAATGCAATGTATTTAACAAGTACTAGTAAATATCCAACAAAATATCCAAGGCAACATAAAATATCCATCATATCATGTAATGTGAAAGCATCCATAATGCAAATGATCAATCCTCAATGTCCGGATGAAAGGAGGAAGAAGGACCTGAAGGACGAGACAAGCCGGAAAAGAGAGCCTCCAAAGCATGAAAACTAGCTCTTAAATCATCAAAGCTATCTCTCAAGTTAGAAACATTAGCTTCCATGGCATCAAAATGACGATCGACAAGATCATGATGAGTGGCCATGAGGTCATAGAGAGAGTCTAAAGCGACAGGAGGGCGGGGAAGATTGACATCGACGGGAGCAACCGAATCATCAACCGGAGGAGCATCTTCAAGATTTTTAACCCAATTCCCATTTTTAAATTTGAACCCCATTTTCTTAACAGAGGTATAATCGAGTGGGCTCGAAAGGGGCACGGGAGGATCAAAAGAGGTATTGATGGAGTGGGCACGAAAAATATGGCTCAAAACACAAGTGTAAGGCAAAGAAAAAGTGGACTTTGAGCCCTTAGAGATATTGTGCACCAATTCAGGAAAAATAATTTGTGAAATATTAGGACATTCCTTGGTGCAAAAATGTTAAATCCACCAAAAATCTAAGGAACGCATACGAGTGGTGCAACCACCCGAAGGACGGAGGAACCAAGTGATAAAAAGTTGTAAAAGACGTTCCTCAAACTCAAGATGAGTGGAACTAGCATTAAGAATTTTTTTCAAATGGAACTTTATGATTTTCATTAAAAGGGCCATAAATAGGAATTCCTAAATCTTTTGCAATAGATTGCAGAGATAGTTTAAGTTCTACACCCATGACATTTTGAACATTAAAACTTATTTTTATAAACTTAAAATTCTTGAATCGAATAAAATATTAACTTTATAAAATTTTCAATATAGTCCTTTGTTATATCAAAATCATTTAATTACATTTTTCAAACTTTTAATTTTTCATAATTTGGTACTCTAGGTTAGGAAGCCTTTAATTAACTCATCTTGTGTAAATTAGGTCCTAATCAGTTGATTGATTACAATTGTTTTAAATTATTAAGGCAATGTTTGCTTGTTAGGGAATTAATGGTATAGCTCCCGCAATCATACTCAGGAAGTGACTACTAGTAATTCCAAATTAGGTCAACATCCTTTTCAAAATCGCATCATAATTTCTTAATTTTCGAGGTAATGTTTGGTTATTGGGCGCAATAATTGATCTCGTGCATTCATGCCATGAGGTGAATATTATTAGCCTTAATAAAAGAATATCCTCTTCAATTTTGCATCTACAGTGATTTCTAAATTAAATAAAATTTTGAACTTAAAATTTTCAAATTTTAAACATAGGATAATCGACTAAGTACCAATTTCTAGGCACTGTGGGTTGCTAACCCTTCCTCATGCTTAATCGACTCTCAAACCTATTTTTTGGATTTTGTAGACCCCAAACTTGATATTTCAATAAAAAAAATGTTTTATTAAATTACCCGGTTTTTATGGTGTCTCAATCTCACCTTAAAATGATTGGTGGCGACTTCCAATATTTCATTAAAACCATTTCAAAAGAGTTGTCAGGTTTATCGTCGAATAGAAAGTTAAAATTTGGAATTGAGCTTTTGCAAATAACCATTCCGATGTCCATCGCTTCATACTGTATGGTATTAACCGAATTGAAAGAACAAAAGGTTCAGTTATAAGACTTGTTTGACAAGAGATTCATCCAATCGACTGAGTTGAAAGAATTAAAAGTTGAGTTATAAGAATTGATCGATCAGAGAATCATCCATCCGAATATCTCGCTATGGGAAGCGCATGTTTTATTAGTCAAAAATAAGGATGTGATATTTTGTCATTTTAATAATAATATATATTTACATACGATATTTATATATAATCTTAGGGATTTTATTGTATATAATACGTATAATATCTTTAGAGAAAATACCTATAATTATTTTATTATTATTATAATTAAATAAAAATATAAAAGCATTTTAAAATAAAAATAAAATGAAAATGAAAAGAAAAATAAGAATTAACTTTATATTTTATAATATTTTAGTATTTGAAAAAACTCTTCTAATCAGTGTATAATAAAAGATAAAATTGATATGGTGAAAATTACACGGCCCAAAGGGCACCTTTCTACACATTGAGCAGCCCATTAAAATCCCTAAAATTGAAAGACGAAACATTAGAGTTTAGGGTTTCCCTCGTATATAATGATCATACTTCGCCTCCATCTAGCTTTCTTACCTCGGCTTCTTCCCTTTTCTTCCATCTTCTTCGACGTGGAGCCGGCCCAACCATGGTTCACGTCAGTTTCTACCGCAACTGTAAGATAACGATTTTCTCCTTTTTACTCCCTTTCTTAAACCTGATCTATTGTTTCAACGTAGTTAGTATTGTAGGATTAAAGTTTTTGTTCTTCCATTTCAGTTATTTTTGGTTTCTTACAAAGGGGCACCTGAATTTATCTGTTATTTTTCTTTTGTTTTCACTTTTTGGTTAATAATGCAGCTGGTTTTATTTTGCTTACTGTAGTATAGAATGTTAGAAATGATCTCAAAGCTCGTTATTTATGTATTTTTTATGCCCTTTGTTTACTTATTTTGAAGACATTTCTGCAATTAAAGATTCCAACTTTGATGTCTTGTTTTTGAATCTTGGAAATGGCAGTGTATAATTGGTTGACTAGTTTTATGTCAACTTCGGATCCTAGTTGTAAAATACTTGTCAGCATATTGGTGCCTGACATCTTAAGTGATGGAGATTGTTGTTCTTTGTTATTAAATTGGTGTGTGATTGTAGATGGAAAGACCTTTAAGAAGCCACGACGTCCGTATGAGAAGGAGCGCTTGGATGCGGAGTTGAGACTTGTAGGAGAGTATGGGCTCCGATGTAAGAGGGAGTTGTGGAGGGTTCAGTATGCTTTGAGTCGTATCCGTAATGCTGCTAGGGACCTTCTCACCCTTGATGAGAAGAACCCTCGTCGTATTTTTGAAGGTGAAGCACTTCTTCGTAGGATGAACAGATATGGACTTTTGGATGAGAGCCAGAACAAGCTTGATTATGTCTTGGCTTTGACTGTTGAGAATTTTCTTGAGCGTCGCTTGCAAACACTAGTGTTCAAGAGTGGTATGGCCAAGTCGATTCACCATGCTCGTGTGTTGATCAGACAAAGGCATATCAGGTAGAGACTTGCTTTTTGATTGTTTGTTTGTTTGTCTGTTTTTCACATCATGCTTGCTCGAATGAGATTTTGTACATTTACATCTAAATTGTATGTAAATGTCAAAGTTGGTAGTCCACATGTGTGGTTACTTTTGTTTCATTCCTTTCTGTTTATTTCCATGTCTGCCCTTGTCTCTCTGTTGTATTGTGCCCAAAAGTGGTTTCTGATTTGCATGTAATTTTGATCTATTGCCTTTGAAATTCTTAGGTCTGATTTTTTGTTGAGCACTTTCATATTTGTTAAGCCTAGTTGTGTAACTGAGCCAAGCTCACGTTTTAAGAAGCTCAAGTTGACTTGAAATTTGAGGATTGAAGCTTGGCTTGAGTTCCGATCGAATTTCACTTTCATAGTTGAGGCTCAATTAAGATGTAAAAATACTCTGAATGTTATATGCTGCTGATGTTTGCTATGTACTTGATAGGGTTGGGAGGCAAGTTGTGAACATCCCATCCTTCATGGTGAGGGTTGACTCACAAAAACATATTGATTTCTCTCTCACAAGTCCGTTTGGAGGTGGCAGGCCAGGAAGAGTGAAGAGAAGGAACCAGAGAGCGGCTGCAAAGAAGGCTGCCGGTGGAGATGGCGATGAAGAAGAAGATGAGTAAACCATCGGCAACCCTTTAAAAGCCCATTTCTTTGGAACTTACATCCTCCATTGTCATAGACATGGTTTTGAGTTTTACTTGCTGAACATTGTAGTGGATCGTGATATATGTTTTGCATTTACTATTGTTGTTTATTCTTGGATCTGAAGTTTAATATAGTGTGCTGCTTTAAGATTAAAAAATAATAATTTTTGTGATCCATACTACGAAGCTTCACCATATCCAGTAGCCCATGGAAAGTGATAGTTTTCTAGTGATTGGAATGTGTTTTCCATTCTTGATATGCATTAGGGAAGACGGTTTTATTCTGATTTGACTCGGGAAGGCCGTGGCAAATTTGATAGCTTGTCTTGTTACCATCATTGATGACATTACTTCCAAACTCAGCCTTAGCGTTACGATTAGGTATAACAAATTGCATTAAGATTTTTCTAAAACATTTTCAAACTTTTTCAAATCCATGTATTGAAAAACATAATTTAAGAAAAATAATTAAGTTCAAATGGACTAATGATAACATAAAGCATCATGCCCACGTGTGAAATATCGAATAATCAGTATCGTAGAAATTTACACATCAGTAGTAAAACATAATATGTCATAACATAAGTATAATAAAATATAGGCACATGTCACTCATAATAAAGATAGTTTGAAAAATAGAAACATTACAACAAAAAGTATGGTACGAAATGTGTCGATCATCCAATTGTTTGGTGTAGAGTGCTTATCAAAAAGTATTTAAAAGGGGAAAAAGTTTAGGGGAGTGAGCTAGGGAGCTCAGTGTGTTCCAATAGGGCATAATAAATCGTAATAGTAAATTTCAGAATATAGTTGAGTACATATTTCATAAAAGTCACAGTAAAGTTTTTGGTAAAAACATTTAGTTACCCTCCACCCGTACACCATATGCAATTCTCCATAACTGCATCCACAAGGGCTTACCATAGGACCACTGGGCGTAGGAGTCTACCCAAGGGAGTACCTTGGGGCCTAAGAGCTTACCCAATGGAGCATCTCGGGGCCTATGAGCCTACCCAAGGGTCACCTTAGATCTGTAAGGATTTACCAGCTTGATCAGAGCTGAACCTCCATACTCCAGCCTACCCAAATAGTATCCAAATAAAATAAATCTAGTAATGACAGTAGTTCCATGATCCATAAATCAGACATATTTATATTTTCCAGTAAAAATAAATAATCAGATAGCATGTATCGGGTAAACATAATCCATAATCAGTAAATCAGGAAAATCATGATATCGATCAAGTAAAGCATTTATAAATCAACTCAGGTAAACCATCATCTTTCAGAACAGATAAAACAATTATATAGCACACAACGAACGCACCAAAAAAAGGAGTTAGACTGGAACTCTACTCAGCACCGACCTCATTACGCTCTACAACAACACTTGAACCTAAACCATAACGAATTCGAGTTACTATTGAAGTAAATAACTAAGTTTAAGTATTTATAGGGATCACAGAGCAATATGAGTAATCACGGGCTCACGGGGTCGGATGGATCGAATTGAGATGGGTCGGGCTGACAAGCGATCAGAAGAATCTCAAGTACCTTCAATTAACAACATCATAAATTAGTCCTTGACCTTACATTAAAAGCACTTAGTAAAATAATTAATTACATATGCATGCTCGGGGTTTAACATTCGTTTCGGAAGCTTTCAGGTTAGAATTTAGAAAAACATACTTTGGATTCGGACTCAAGACGTTGAAAAACATAAAATATGTTTGTTTAAAAATTTTGACTTTTTGATAAAAGTCAAAGTCAACTCTAGTCAAAGTCAACGATCTAGGTTAAAGTCAATAGTTCAGTAAAAGTCAATGGTTCATATCAGTTCAGTCTGAGTTGACTCAGTGCGAATCGACTTAGTTTCTAGATAATTCAATTGATGAAATACCCCCAAGCGCAGGGGTGGCGTGTGGCGGCGAGTACGATGGCAACATGGGTCGGGGAGAATGACTGATTACCCTATGACGTTTCAATCATTGAATTCAACCCAAATCAGACCATAATTCAACAATAAATACAATAAAATCATCGAAAAAGAGAATTAAAGCTTACGCCAACGGCGGATGAAAAATGGATGGTGACGAGGTGGCGATAGTAATTGGGTGTTTGTCGGGAGAGTGTGAGGAGCATGGCAGTGAAGGCAGTGTGGTCACTGAACCTCGAAATTGGCATGAAAACGATAAAACCACAATAGCTTGTTTTCTCTCCGATGATGCTTGGATCGTTGATTCGCGACGAATGGTGAGGCTTCACGACGATTGGCGGATTGGGTTTTGATCAGACGACCGCGACGATCCCAATGGTACTGGCGGTAACGATCACGACAGTCGGATAAAGCTGAAACAATGAAGTGACGACGATGGAAATGTTGGAAAAATTGAGGATTTATTTAGGGTTTGATTTGAACTTGATTTAAGGAAATTTGGGGATTTAAAATCCCAACAGGTCGGTTAAAGATTTTTTTAATTACCCCATTCCCTATAACCTGCGTTCAAACCACCACAATCACCTTTTTCATTTTTTTTCCTTTGCAAATGGGAAAGGGTAAATCTAAAGCTAGGTCCTTAAACTTTCAAGGAGATTCAAAAACTGAATTAAAACTTTAAAAATTCACAATTTGTTCCCTAAAAATTAATTAGATAAAGTCAAATTAAAAGTAAATAAATTAGAGGTGTTAGTGTTAGAGTGTGCCCAAAGACCAATCATATGATGATTGTAATAATACTTTTATTTACTGATTTTATTGAATAAAGGCATTGCCGCTATTATTTTCAGTTATATATATATGTGTTTAACATAAACTGGAAGAAAATAAAGTCCATATAATGACATAATTGTTATTATTAAAAGATCCCTAGTCAAGTATTATTATGGGCATGGACAATAATAATACGCTTAAGACTAACATGTTATTGATTGATGACAACGCTTAATACCCTAGGATTGAAGCGAGCAAAGACGTACAATTTGTTGTACGATACTAAAATATATATAGAGTTAATTAAGTATATGTTTTAATAATCTCAAATATTTAATTTCAATTAATTAAATATATATTTAATTATTTTGAAATAATAAAATCCCTAATATGATTAGGGTAACTTGGATATAAAATGATTATTAAATTCCAATTAATTAAATATAGATTTAATTAATTTGAAATAATAAAAACCCTAATATGATTAGGGTAACTTGGCTATAAAAGGGTGTGTTAGGTCTAGCAGCAGTTTTTAGAGAACACACACAAAAACCTTCAGCCATTTTCTCTCAAAACGATTTTGGGGGAAAACAAAATTGCTCTCAATCGGGTGAACTGAGTAGAGGCTGAGACGTGATTTCGTGGAGGCTTACAATTCGAAACGATCTACACCACCAGTATTCACTGTTGTCTTTGTTGTTTTTCAAGGAACCCATTGTAAGTATTTGCATCTCTTTCTCTCGATTTCAGTTTTTTGTACTTGGATCGCTGGTGAGACCGTCGAGTTTTGTTTCCGCTGTGCCATGGGGTGCGCCGACGGTCCCAACAGTTACAACTCTCCCCCTTTAAAGAAAATTTTGTCTTCAAAATTTACCTTGAGCAAACAAGTGTGAAAACTAATCCTTCATTGACTCATCTATCTCATAGGTAGTTTTTACGGGACCACGATTACTCCATTGGACCTTCACCATCGGAATACGCTGTTCCGAAGAACTCTCTCGTCTCAATCCAAAATATGAATAGGCTCCTCACCATAAGATTAATTTGGTCTTAACTCAACTTCCTCAACTTGGATGATGTGACTCGGATCTGGATGGTATAACCTCAACATGGACACATGAAAAACATCATGAATACGATTAAGTTGAGGAGGCAACTCTAACTGATAAGCAACAAGTCTGACTCTCTTCAGAATACGATACAATCCAATAAAATCTCGGACTCAAATTAACATTATGTATAAATCTCAGTACCATCTTCTAGGGAGATACTTTTAGAAAAACCTGATCCCCAACTTGAAACTCAAAGATTTTTCTCCTCTTATCAGCATAAGACTTCTATCTATCAAAAGCCTCTCTTAGAAGATCACAGATCAATCTGACAGTATCCTCAGTCTCTCGAACCAACTTTGGAACCAAAGTCTTCTTATCACGCAGCTCAGTCCAATAAATAAGAGTGCAACATCTATGCCCATATAGAGCCTCATATGATGTCTACGAATACTGGCCTGATAACTATTGTTATAATCAAACTCTGCCAAAGGTAAGAAATTATCCCAACTACTATAGAAATCAATCACGTAGCCACGTAACATGTCCTCAAAGACCTAAATCACCCTATAAGACTGACCACCAGTCAGTGGATGAAAACAAGTACTGAAATTCAAACGAGTACCCATATCCTCATGCAGAGCCTTCTATAACCTCGAAGTAAATCTCGGATATCAATCATATATGATAGATATAGGGACCCATACAATTTGAAAATCTCCGAGTTATACAGCCTAGCCAGCTTTTCCAAAGAATAATTAACTCAAACGGGGATAAAGTGAGCTGACTTGGTGAGTCTATCAACAATCACCCATACAAAATCCTTTTTTGAAGAAGTCAGAGACAGTCCAGTAACAATATATATATTAATGCGCTCCCACGTCCACTATGAAATCTTGATAGGTTACAATAAACCAGACGAATGGTGGTGCTCTGCCTTAACCTGCTGACAAGTTAAGCACCTAGCCAGATTATAAAAAATATCCTTCTTCAAGCCAACCTAGTGGTACCTCTCTCTCGGGTTACAATACATCTTATCTCCACATGGATGCATAGCATACTGACTGCTATGATCCTTATGAAGGATAACCTGTCTCAACTTTGTATCATCAGTTATACATGCATCACAAGGCTCACATCAAAGGAAGAAGTAATAACTCTTCCAAATGATCCACTCGTCCAAGCATTGGAAAAGAAGATCAGAACAGAAGCAGACTTGTGATGATTTTTTGAATGGGATCTTGATCTTATTTGGTCAATATATCTCTGGAGATACAACCTTCTGTCTCTTATCTTTCCAACGGTTCTTGAATCTCATCAATCCAATATCAGGAACTCAAGATATGACC